CCTCGTATGGGGTACCGTTTAGTCTGGTTCTATCCCAAAATTGATTTTGTTCCCGATTTTGAAAAATGACCCAATCAAAATAATATTTAAAACTTTTGGAAAATATTTTTAAGTGCAGGGGCATAATTTTAAAATCATTTTATCAAGCTCTTACATTTTTCAAATCTAAACTCGAGTGATTCAATTCTTGATGAAATCAACCAAGTTGGAGAGGTTCGGGTGTTTCGTTTTGAGTCCGCAAAAAAAGGTTAGTATTTGGAAGACTTATTTGGCAGATCAAAACGCGGTGAGTTTCGGCATTCAAGGCCAACAATTTTCTCACAGTGAAACTCTCAATGTAAAAACCAATGAAGGGATCTAGCCCACCGAGTATGGAAACACAAAGAACTTAAACATAATAAAAGATAAACTCTCAAAAATATGCTCTTAGTAATATCTATATTAGCCTGATTTAGCTTGGGTTACAGTGGGGAATTCATCGTCTATTTATTGTCTAATATTATTGGTACATGGTATGCAATTCGCGCAGTAAGTTATGTGCATGATTGGCCTGACGTGCGTCAAATGTGCGCGAGAAATTTGTTGTCAATTACTCACGATGAATAGAATTGCGCTCCACTTCTATTTTTGATCTGGTTCGATGGGCCTGACTCCCATATGGTGCCTCCTTCCCCTCACTTTATGACTTATCCATGATGTGAGTTTGGCCCTTTAATTATATTGGGCTTTGAATAACATGTTTGGGTCTACCCATTCCACTCGTTGAGCCCGATATCCATCAATCAATGTCTCTACTATTTGCATTTACGAGAACCTTAGTACCCTATGATTAAAAAAGTAAAACATTTATTGAACTTAATTAAGAGTGTAAGATTGTAAGTTTAGCTCATTTACGAGATTAATAAACTTACTTCTTGATCTTGGAACACATAAGGTTCATACTTATTAGGAGACTTGAATCTCTAATGTTACGCTTTCCAGCAACTTTGACTTTGCATGTTCTTTCAACCTGGTTATCTTTAATATGACTAATTGATAAGTCCAATTTTTTGGTCTTATTTTATACCTTATATTTCAACGTTCTTGTACGTAAATAAAAATAAATCAAGAATTTCAAATAAATTTTTATGATAAAAAATCATTTTACAAATTTGTTAAAAAAAGATTGTTCCAAATTAAAATTAGTTTTTTCAAGCATATCATGGCCAAATAGAAGAAAATATTTCAAATTGATGATCACAAGTGAAGAAGAGATCAAATCAGGCTTTGGAGCAAAAAGAAATGATCAAAATATCAAAATTGCCAAAATTGGGCCGAATTTGATCCCAGGCGTCTGAGGGGCGTGCGCCCCAGCCTCAGGCGCACGCCTCTGGGGGTGACGATTTGAAACGGCGCACGATCGGATTTTCGGCGGAGAATCCAATCAAACAGAAGCCCAGGCGCCTGACAGGCGTGCGCCGCAGCTTCAGGCGCGTGCCTGGGCTTCCGGAAGCCTATAAAAGCAGCGCTTCCCCTGCCATTCCAACCATCCCATTCCACAACGTTTCTTCTTCCTTCTCTCTAGTTACGAAATTTGTATAAAGAAGTTAAGTTTTTGTTCATTTTGGGAGTTTCAAGTCCAGAATTGTTCAATTCCGCTTTTTCTGGAAGTTGTAAGTTTTCTGTAATATTTATAAAAATGTTATGTTATTTAATTTGTGTGCATTTAATTGTTATCATGTCTGCTTAAATATTTTAGGAATGTGAATTGAAATAGGGTAGTAGGTATGCAGGATAAATTTAATTAAGTTGGAATATTAAATTTAATTAATTAAAATGTTAAGTTGCAAGTAATTGTTGTAATGTTATAATTAATTTATCTGGCCAATTTATTAATTAATTATTGAAAAATTATTATATCCATTTGTCTATAAATGTGAAAAGTAATTTAGTCAACCAATACTAGCACATTAATGAAACTTAGAGATAAGATATAATTAATGAAGTAGTTGTGACTGAACTCTCACTAAACAATTAATTAATTATTTTAATATTCCAACTAGTTAAAATATCTGAAAATTGCCTACTACCTGAAATCAATTCATATTCCTCTTTATCAATTCAATCAAGTTACTATTCTGTTCAATCAATCTAAATTTTCGAAATTAGAAAACTTCCAATACCAATCATTATGCCTTGCCTAACTAATTTTTAATAGAAAATTTATTTATATGCCAATCCTTGTAAATACGACACGGGAATAAATTGAACTTTTTAGAGGGAAATTTACTACCACTAAAACTAAATCTTCACTAATCATTTTGGTGTCATCATCCCTACAATGTAAATGTAAAAATAAACACTATAATAATAAAAGGAAACATGGTTTTGTATAAATAATTTATTCAAATTATGAAAAAAACCATCCTCAATTTGAAAATTGTTTTTTGAGGTGACTTTATTCTATTGTTATAAGAATATTTAAAATATAAAAATAGTGTAAAAATAAAAAAGTCTCAGACATGAAGGTTAGAAGATGCCAACTCATTTTGAACCCATTTAAAGCCTGTTCTTTAGGGCTTGAACTCTTAACTTCCAGTGTTTTTCCAATTTCTTCCAATTCCTTCCAGTTCCTTCCAGTTTCTTCATGTTTCTTCTAGTTTCTTCCAACTATTCTCATTTTCTTCAAACTCTTTCTACTACTCAACCAATTACTCTAAAAACGATATATTTTAATGTGATTATTATTATTATTGTTGTTGTTATTATTATTATTATTATTATTATTATTATAACTGTTAACATGAATAAGAAAATTTTTTGTATATTGGTCTACATGATAAAACAGGAAAACATCAATATGTTAAATTATATTAACAAAATTATGGATAAAATAGTGAAATTGAATGTTTTACTAATATAACTTTATATAAGATCTCTCACATTTTCCTTTATTACTTAAAATTTGCTCATTTTTCAATTTTTTATAAAATATTGTAAGTCAAAATAGTTTAAAGAAAAAGACTAAAATAGGAGTAAAATATAAAAAATGTTAAAAAAAAGTTTTATGTCTTTATTTCAAAAATAGGACTTCAATGAAAATAAAATGTCAATCATGAAAGAAAAAATATGTTTGATTACATTATGTGACATGTCTGATATTTAAAACAAAATCTTGTAATATATAAAGTATAATTACAAATATATTATTTGTAATTATATATTTGGAATGGGTCTGAAAGCCCTACCCTGTGCTGGGAACGTTCCATGAAGGAAAACCCAACCTGGGTGGTACCTGGGTTTAATGAGACAACCTACTTGTGGAACGAAGCATGGTCACTGTGGGGACAAGCCGGGTCACCGACTTAACACCCCTCCGTTCCTACCGAGATACAGTGACTCCCGGAAATGATGAGGTTAGCATGATGCTTTAATGATTCTTGAACTATGGACAACGAGGTCCAAGTGGAGTAATCGGGATATTTTAGAAGAATCACCTATGTAAGAGTGAACTCTGGTCGCTTTGACTGAAGGATTTCGGGCTGATCCTGTCTGACACTCTCGCAGAACCAGATGCGTGTTCCACGACCATAATGGGCACACCCATGAGAACGGAATGATGGTTGGTTGAAACTTGTGTATTGTATGTCGTCATTTACATAAACGGCAGTACAGTTCAAAGACATCACGTTCTACTGAACAGCCAGTAGAGAAGGTATACTTTACAATGAGTAGGTTCAAAGGCATAAAACCTACCTACTCTTGCAGGTTTCAACTTCATAGTTATTTCCAGTTACATGAATTAATTTTCATTCATGTGGGGGATTGTTGGAAATTTTAGATAAATTGGACCTTTTCGGACATAAATTTGGTAGGGTCCATGAAATTATTTTCCGAAATAATTATGGACATTTAATCTCGTAAGCAAGACGAATGTCTTGACATATTACACGCCATAGACGGTATTCGGGTGAATGAGAAATTAATTCTCAAAGTTGAATATGAGGGAAGAGTAAAAACCCTTGTCCCACACCGGTTTTTGAACCTTTCATATTCTCATATTTAAGCTTAGACATTTAATTGAGCTTATGAAAGGAACAAGAAGAGGATTCCTCGCGCGCCGCTGTCCGTCCGACTCGGCACGAAACGCGTGCGTCGGGTCGTGGCGTGGTTTGCGCCGCGGCTGCGGCGGGGCTAATTTTTTACGAGACCGAATTAAACACGCGTGGACACTTCGTGATTAACGAAGTGCCGTACAATAAGCATGCATGCATGGAGGCGAAGGGTTGGCCATGACGCCTTGGTAACTCCGTCGAGTCCAATTGAAGAGCCAATTCCTCTCCTATAAAAGGAGGGCTCGACTGCAGGGATTACATACTCGAACAAAACGTCACTAAAATACTAATAGCTTTCCGACTATCACCCCGTTTCCGATCATCTTCTCCGGCGATAACTTCCTGTCGTTCTCGTTCGCCGGTGCATCGCTCTACCGCTCTAGACTTTGCATGCTGCGGTTTTATCCTAGGAGGAGATTGCCCACGTTTGCCAGTGCGGGAGGTGGGCAATACTATCTTAAGGAAAGATGGAAAAGCTCCGGCGACCGCTGCCTACCGTCCGACGCAGTTGCCTGTTCGTGTTCTTCCCCTCTGCCCGATCGTGTCCTCGGTCCCGTCCGTTCGTGTTCGAGCTTTCGAAGACTCCAATTTACTTATTTCGTTGTAAAATCCGAACGGTTTATAAGTTCGGATTATTTTGTTTCATTTTATTCCCGCTTTATTATTCATCGGATTTTTCCCGGACAGCTGGTTGTATGTTATCATTTAGAGGGTCACTCAACCAATGAGCTATTTCTATCATTCAAATCCTTGGCAGTTGACTGAAGAAACATAGTCAATCTCAAGAAATTCTCCCGTGTATGCGTCTCTCGAGCAATTGGAAAAAGTGGAATTCAAATAACGGAGCAAGAAGAGAAGATAGCTACTCGGTCCCATTAGGAAAAAAGTTTATCACTGGTAAAAGTCATCGCCCCTCTGTCACAGCATCATCAGATCGTTAAAAAAAACTTCACCCTCTCTTCCTCTTCTTCCTTGATTCTCTCTCAACTGTGATCCTCCTCCGTTCGATCGGCAGAGGAGAGCTGGATGGGATGGCCTCAAAGCCTTGGCTATGTCCGGCTCCCTCTTACAGTAGTTTAGAGGCGTTCTGGGACACAGATGAAGACGCCCCTGGCCCACGCTGCGCCCACACCTTCACCGCTGTCGCAGCCACCAAAACACACGGCCCTCGCCTCATCCTTTTTGGCGGCGCTACCGCTATTGAAGGCAGCAATGGTGGTCCAGGAATCCGTAATTCTCTCTTCTTCTACCCTCTCCATTTTGACTCCCTCTCTGCACCTTGCCACCAAAGTTGTTGACTTTCAATGACAATTTGGCTGCAGGTCTTGCTGGTGTTACCAACTCTATTCATTCTTATGACGTCCTCACCAGAAAATGGACCAGGTATTATTCATGTCTTTCCTGTGCTCATTTGATGCCTGGCAGCATCCAGATATGTTTCTCCATTTTGCATTCTTATTTCCAGATTGCGACCAGCTGGAGAGCCCCCTTCACCAAGGGCTGCACATGCTGCTGCAGCGGTAGGAACTATGGTTGTATTTCAGGTGATTGCAAGCTGAAGTTCAAGTGAATTCTTCTTTAATGTGTTAGCTTATGAGAGTTTATGTGATGGGTTGATGTAAATTATGCTAGTGTGGCATAGGACCTGCTGGCCATTCAACAGATGATCTATATGTTCTTGACTTGACCAATGACAAATTGAAATGGCACCGGTGAGCTTGTTGTAATATTCTCACAATTGTTTTCCCTACATTTTTATTCTGTATTTCTGACCTTTTAATTTTTTGTCATTTAGAGTTGTAGTTCAAGGACAGGGTCCTGGCCCACGATACGGCCATGTTATGGATTTGGTCGCTCAAAGATATCTTGTTACCTTTGGTGGAAATGATGGTAAGTACAGTTTTTCCTCAATATACTTTTCAATAGTCTAATTTTCTCATCAAATGATATAATCAGGATACCTTTAAGTATCATTATTTACTAAGGTTGCCCTTACAATGACAGCTGCAGTTGTCCCATTATAGATTACTTGGTTATTATTGGAAAGTGGAAACATGTTCTGCTTTTGTTTTTGTGAACATCAATATATAGTGGCATGAAGTTATAATTGTGAATTATTTACTTGATACATGTATGCTATTTATGTAAATGTAGAGATGTTTATATGCTGTTTACTGTCAAACACATGTGGATCTGTTTACCATTTATTGATTTTCTCGGATAGGTTCTATTCAATTTGTCTTTTTGGTTTCCTGTCCTTAAAAAAGACTTTTTTTTATGGTTTTTTTTAGGTAAAAGAGTTCTGTCAGATGCCTGGGCTTTGGATACAGCTCAGAAACCATATGCATGGCAAAGGTTAAATCCAGATGGGGATAGACCCTCTGGTAGAATGTGAGTTAACATTATCCACTCATTAAAGTACTTCCTTTAGTACTCCCTCCATTCCTCCAAATCAGTTTACATACATCCTTTTCGGAAATTCTCTTGTTCACATAAACTTTTCTATCAACTTTTCCATCAGTTCAATCTATTTCTCTCTCCTAATTAAATACATTAGTAACTTTACATAACTTTACAATCTAGTTCAGTTTTGTATACCCTTAATCTACGTGCAAGTCAAACTGTGCAAAGTATTTAGGAACAGAGGGAGTACTCCTTCCGTCCCTAATTAAAAGTGATGCAGGGTAGAGAGAAATGATGTATATCGTATAACCTTTTTTCTTTAAAAGGAAAGCAGAACTTTATTTTGGGACAAACAAAGTAGGAAACATGGAACCTTTTTCCAAGACAGATGGAGTATTTGTTAACTTGTTAGCATAAGTGCTTTGTTTTAAATTGCTAATGCTATACAAATGTTTCACTACTTTTGTAGGTATGCAACTGCTAGTGCACGTTCAGATGGAATGTTTTTGCTCTGTGGTGGGAGAGATGCTTCAGGCATAGTATGCCTAACATTCTTATAGAGTAGTCTAGATAATGATTGTAATTGTGTGTCTATGTGTGTCCTTTCTGTTTTCTAGCTTTCGGGTTCCCAAGTTGCTTTGTGGTCATATATTTAGGGCCCATTTGGATTTGTTTTTGGCATGCATTTGGAATAACCAAATAAGAAATGATGTTTAGAAGATATGAAGTTAGGTTTCATAGATGATATTGTGTGTTTAGTATATATTCTGAAATCAAATTAGGAATGAGATCGATGGAGGCAAACTCAATGAAGGGAGGTCGATGCACGCGAGCTTGGTAAAGAGAGGGGGGAAGGGGTCAGTAAATGGAGGCCAGATTGATGAGAGAATCAGCTCCCTACCATGTGAAAGGAGGGGGGGGGGGTGGATAGTGGAATGGGTCTGTGAGAGTTTAGGGAATTAGTTTGAGAATCAATTTAATAGCCAAACAAGGTGTATCGCTCATGGGCATACATGATATGGTATCCACCCGAAGGAAACAAAACCTTTTTCTTTAATGCTATGAGAAAATTGCAAAAATATGTACCTGAAGTGATGACATTTTTTGGAACAATGTGTATCTACATTACTTTTAGCTTAGAAGTTTTATGATGTAGACTCTATATCCTGAGTTAGCTCCCCACCACTATCCCGAAAGAATATACTTGTAGGAGCTTCTAACATATTTTTTCTGACTTGGTATTTGGTAAGGATAAGAAATAAAAATAACCTTTTCTTTCCTTAGCCCATGCCTGATGCTTATGGACTACTTATGCATAGAAATGGCCAGTGGGAATGGACTCTCGCTCCTGGGGTTGCACCTTCACCAAGGTACCAACATGCTTCGGTAAGTGATAAGCACACAATTATTCATAACCCATATCTATTTGTTTGGGAAAAAATACAACACTCAAGCCTTGGTCCAAAATGATTAGAGTTACCTACTGGCTAAAGCCTACATAAAGCAATACAGAATCTCCCCAGGGCATTATTTACATTATTTTCTGTCATGTACCCTATGCGCATTAACCCCAACTCTTTGATGTTTCTTTTTTGCACCTTCAATCTGTCTTTTTTGCCCTATCACATCTTATTTTAAGTCTAAAACACTTAAAGACTATGATATCCACACTGGAACACTTGCTTCTTAACAGTTGACATGCTCAAGCAAATCTCATTGGGCTTCTCTTACTTTTTCCTTAAAAAACAGCTACCCTCATTCATGCAAATCTCCATGTTGTACATTTTATCATTTTATTGGCCTTACCGCACATTCATCATAACTTATGCATCTCTTCGACTCTGTCACACTCATTTTCTTTATCCAATCTTAGTTTCTCATCTGCCTAATAATGCTGGTCTTGTATACATTAAAGATCACATTGTAGTCATGTCACTCCATTCTATTTTAGTCATCATGCATTTAACCAATGAGGCAGTTTTTCATATAATAGTTTTCAAGTATTCGAAACAAACAATCGCTTAATTACCTTAATAGCTCGTCCGGCATCCACACCCAATTTCACCCAATTTTCTTTTTTACTTTTGATGGTGCTACCCAGATGCTCTGTTCACTTCGGTTTATCCCCAATTTTCTTCTTCATGTGTGTTTTAGTAGCCTAGCATATTTCCTGTGCTGGAATGTGGTCTTGCATAGGAACATTATTCCCTCTCCCTGATTTTATGCTATTATCCAGGTTTTTGTTGGTGCAAGATTACATGTTACTGGAGGTGTACTTAGGGGTGGTCGCGCTGTAGAAGGTGAAGGAGCTATAGCAGGTAAGGATCAAGGGTGCTTGAATAGTGTGGTCTTTTGTATGATTTTCAATGGGCTTTATTTGAATATAATCTCTTCAAGTCTTGAAACTATTGTTTCTTGTTAAATAGTTCTGGATACTGCTGCGGGAGTTTGGTTAGATAGAAACGGACTCGTGACTTCTTCGCGTAATACCAAAGGGCAAACAGAACATGATCCTTCATTGGAGCTTCTACGTCGCTGTCGTCATGCAGTTGCAGCTGTTGGTGTTCGGATATATATTTATGGTGGCCTTAGAGGAGGTAATATATGCAATTATTCATTGCAGAGTATACAATACACCATAAGTAGAAGTGTAGAACACTTTTTTTTTGGACCTGTGGGCAAACAAATGATGGTGACTGATTAGTTGTTACTGATGATGCATTATCCTCAGATATCATGTCAAAGAAAATTTATGGTCCACTTCTCATTTTCCCGTGCAGATACACTATTGGATGATTTACTGGTTGCAGAAAATTCTCCATTGCAGCCATCAGAATCAAATTCCCCATCTTTAACATCTGAGAGAGTCCCAGCATTGGGGTCTCCTAGGTTTGTCAATTCTGATGCAACCTCATTCCTTGACTCAGTAACTCCAGATGGAGAACCTGGTTTCAATTCATTTGGTGGTTTAAGGTAGTTCTGAAGTGATCATACAGGGTTTTCGTTTAATTTCATGGTGTTGATAGTTTATAATTTGTGCTTGCAGCACGGACAGAAGTTCATTGGAAAAACTAGCTGAGGCTTCTGCCGCTGAAGCTGAGGCTGCTAATGCTGTCTGGCAAGCAGCACAGGCTGCATCATCTGCTCCTGAAGGAACAGCTGTATCTGATGACAATTTCCGACCTACAGAAACCACATCAGAGGGTAGTGACAATGAAGTGGATGTCCGCCTACACCCCAGAGCTGTGTGTGTCTTTCTGAATTGCATATATTTGACTCATTCTTGTGAGTAGTAAATTTTTAACTTCTGTGTTGAATCAGGTTGTAGTTGCAAAAGAAGCTGTGGGTAATCTGGGAGGAATGATAAGACAATTATCCTTGGATCAATTTGAAAATGAAAGTAGGCGAATGCTTCCATCTCAAAATGATCAAACAAATCAAACAAAAAAAATTACAAGGCAGAAATCTCCCCAGGGATTGCATAAGAAGGCAAGGGCTCAATCTTGTACTGTTATCTAGGCAAACGAGTAAACAATGAATGTTTTCTTAAAATAATTAAGCATTCATGATTCTCTTTTTTTTGTGTTTCTATCTCAGATCATATCTACTTTGCTCATCCCTAGAAACTGGAAAGCTCCGGTCAACCGAAAGTTCTTTCTGGATTCCTATGAAGTGGGCGAGCTCTGTTATGCTGCTGAGCAGATCTTCATGCATGAGCCCACTGTTCTACAACTTAAAGCTCCTATTAAAGTATTCGGTGATCTCCATGGACAGTTTGGTGATCTGATGAGACTGTTTGATGAGTATGGGTTTCCATCCACTGCAGGAGACATAACGTAATATAATAATAGAGTTCTATTCATTCATAATTTTATTTTAACCAAATTTAATAGTTCGTAGTTTAACTTATTCACCTTTGTAGAGAATTTTGTAGAGAATGAGGTATTATTCTCTGAAAAATCTGTTCTGACTCTTAATGAAATAGAACCCTTAAATTATTGTGAAATTTGCACTAAATAGGACTAAAACATAATGACTTTCCTAATCTAGGACTTAAACCTTTTTATTCTCTAAATATGACTTAATAATGACCTAGTGGGAGGAATAATGTCCACTAATGCTAGACATTTACTTGAATAATGACTAGTTGATAATGACCAAAAGTCCTACCTTGGGAAATAAAAACATATGATCCTATATTAAGAAAGTCATTATGTTTTAGTCCTATTTAGGTAAATTTCTCTAAATTATTCTGGTAGATTGGTGATGAGTCTCTGGTGTTAAGTGTCTCAAGTTAGCTTTCATGTATGCAGTTACAGAGTAAAGAAGTCAAAATCCTGCATAAAGAAGTATATGAGTCAATGAGTGTGTATGTAGCTATATAAGAGTTATTGCAATTTCAGGTTGTAGCTAAAAAGGTTGTTGGACAATGCTCAACAACAACAAACCAAATTATAATCCCAACTCATTTGGGTGTGGGGGTCAAGATGTATGCAACCTTACCCTTGTAAAAATAGAGAGGTTGTTTCTGTTAGACCTTTGATGCATTGCTGCATCCATTGCCCAAAATTTTATAGGAAGTAAAAATCAAGGTAAGTTTAACGTGCCATTTTGATTTAGAGCATGTTCTCTTCATTTGATCTAATTAGATCTTATCTGAATTTATTAAGGTCTAATGCGATCTGATTCTTTCTGATTTAATCTGAATCTTTGTAGTCTGATCTGATTTGATTCCAATAAAGTTGTATAGTCTAAGAGAACATGCCCCTAGTCCATAATTTACCCGAAGCTAAAACATTGTGAAAGAGGTGTCTTTTAGCTCCACCGAAATGGACTGTGCTCAATTGACTATAATATCTTGCAGGAATGATCTGGGAACCAATGTTATAGCATGATCTGGAAGGCTTATGAATGTCCCGACCATATTTTTTATTTTCTCCTGACTAGTTCAGGGGCTAACTTTGTTTCTAAAGTCTTTTTGAATATTGCATGGATATAGTAAGAGTGAAGAACCAAACGTTTGACTGAATGTTTTTTAGTTCAACTCGAGTTAGACTGTGTGGTTTTTAGCAATGTCTCAAGCTTTTAACAACTCGGATTATACTGCATGGAAACTCTTTTGGAAAGTCAAGCTGTTAAACTTTATATATTTACCGCAAATAATCCGCAATGGCTGATATAAAGATGTGATAAAATCCATTAGGATATCCAATTGTTTTACAAGTTAGTTGCCCATCTGACAGAGTGACAGTCTGCAAATAATACCTTAACCTACCATCATGAGCCCAAGATTCACTAGAAATTATTCCTTAAAATGTTCCATATTGTATTTACTATGGGTTATTAGATTCTTGAGTATATGTTTCCTCCCTCCTAATTTGATGGATAGTAACTTTGTTTTTCAGGTACATTGATTATTTATTTCTAGGTGATTATGTTGATCGAGGACAGCACAGCTTGGAGACCATCACTTTGCTTCTAGCATTAAAAGTAAATTCCATCGAGTACAATAAGTCGTGCTCAGTCCTCATGGAGTTCCTAGTGAGATTTTCTTCAATTTAACATAAAATGTTCTTTATCTTCAGATTGAATATCCCGAGAATGTTCATTTAATACGTGGAAATCATGAGGCTGCAGACATCAATGCACTTTTTGGTTTTCGTATCGAATGCATTGAAAGGATGGTACGTGTAAATGTGTGCATTTCTTTTTTGAACTCTAATAACTCTATTACAATGTAGTATTTTTTCATACATTCTCAACCTATTGAAGCATATAGAGCTACTGCCCTCACTGGGGTTCAAACCTGTGACCTCCCATTTGGAAGAGTCACTTTGATGCCGCTGGACCACAAGGTCTTTGGCAAAATGTGTGCATTTCTTATTCTTATTATTATTTGTTTATTTTTGATATTCTAATGGCAAGCAAGTTCTCAGGGAGAGAGTGATGGAATCTGGGCATGGACATGTTTTAATCAACTGTTTAACCACCTCCCACTTGCTGCACTTATTGAAAAGAAAATCATCTGTATGCATGGTGGTATAGGGAGGTCAATAAATTCAGTTGAACAAATTGAGAAAATAGAAAGGCCAATTACAATGGATGCTGGCTCCATAGTGCTAATGGATTTACTATGGTGGGTTTAAATTGTTATATGCATACCAAGATTTTCATTTCCAAGCTATTTACATACCAAATATTATTACAGGTCTGATCCCACAGAAAATGATAGTGTAGAAGGATTGAGACCAAATGCAAGAGGGCCTGGTCTTGTGACCTTTGGGGTATGAGTTATGACCTTCTGTTATCTCTGATTATGTTCCTCTCAGTCCTCAATACATTAAACAGGGCAGGTGCAGCAAAACTAGAGGACAAATAAATCTGCAATCTTTTGGAGTTCTGATTTAGGGGTTTAACTTAGGTTACATTGGATGTAAACAGTGGATTTGTTGGAAATGGATCGACATCCTGTCATTGTGTATACCAACATGAACTCACTTAGATCTCACTACAATTTGGGTTATTCACAACTTTTTATATGTTTATTGCTATGGTCTCTTTCAGCCTGATCGTGTTACAGATTTTTGTAAGAAGAACAAACTGCAACTAATAATAAGAGCACATGAATGTGTTATGGATGGATTTGAACGTTTTGCCCAGGGGCAGTTGATCACTCTATTTTCCGCTACTAACTATTGTGGTATGTTTTGAGAGTCCCAAACCATTTTTTTGGCACTAGAATGATTGATCTCTAAAAGTGCATGTAAATGCATTCAGGAACGGCCAATAATGCCGGTGCAATACTGGTAGTCGGAAGAGGGCTGGTTATAGTTCCTAAATTGATTCATCCGTTGCCTCCACCTCTTCTTTCGCCAGATGCATCTCCAGAACGAGTGACCGATGATGCGTGGATGCAGGTAACACCAAACTTGAGCTGTAACAATTTTTTCTGGCTAACTAACAACTAATTAACGTTGCGTCCTCAGGAACTAAACATTCAGAGACCGCCTACTCCCACTCGTGGTCGCCCACAGCCAGACCTAGACCGGAACTCGCTTGCTTATATATGAACGGGCATTTTAATGAACACAAGTTGCAATGCTCCGAATGAAATCCTTGCAGTTTCCAAGGGAAGTGATGAAATTGTCCATAGATTACAATTCGGGGTTATTTTGAGCATCACAGTTACCAATTGAGCAGGCATGTACGATTTCTCCCTTGCGTGTAACATAGGTGAGATGCAGAAGATGGCTGCTGAAAGTGTGCGGATGATTCTGATTAGTTGGGAAGGTTGTAACATTAAGGTGTGTGCATTTTGAATTGTAATATAGAAATAGCTTTTAGTTTTTCAAATTGCTTTGTATTTTTAAATGATATGCACAGTGATGATTAGCGCCATTGATTCAGTCTGGTAAGCTTTGCAAGATGTGTAACTTATATTCCATTGCTCCCAAAGCTGAAGTTTCAAAGATTCTAGAGTTGATAACTAATACTAGTGTTAGACCTTAGAAGTGATTAGAGTCTGTTGAGAAGATATTTGTAGTTTAATTTTGGATGTAAAAGTGAAGAAATTAAATGTAACTTGTGAAATCGTCCTAAACGCCCTCAGCTAGAGATGTTAGATGTATACGAGTTGGAAACTTGGGATTGGAAATCTTTAGCAGGTCGGTACCAATTCTGATTCATAAAGCTCGTCTCTTTCCAACTCTATATTTTGCTTCAATTTTTGCACCATAGACGAGATCACATATATCAACATTATATGTGCACACACAAAAATTATTAACACCTGGAAAACAGATTTAATAATAGTGAAAATTATAAAAATGTGAATGAAATAAGAAAAATGGGTTTGCAAAATAGTTATTTATCTTTTATATGTATTTACTAATTTTGGAAAGAATTAGTTGTTTATTTTCATTGATGTGATTCTTGAACATCTAAAGTCCCATTTTAATCACTCTATATGTACACTTATTCAATTGTTATTCCTTATTTATTTATTTTTAAAATTAATAAACTCATTATATGTGATATCTATATGGTCAATTATACAATGTTATATCTATAGCATTGCAAAACTATACATTTAAATACTACAACCAAATTTGGAGTATTGCCTATTTATGTACTTCCTATGTCTTTAAAATAAAAATATAAATTTTTTTGAATAATAAAATAGAAAATATATGTACTATAAAATATAAGATAATATGTGCATGCATTAAATTTTAATAATTATGTGCATGCATTTAATTTTATATAAATCTTTGTTTTTGAAATGTATAGATGAAGAAAAAATGATTAATAGTTATAAAAAATTAATATAATGCTTTGTTTTTAAAAACATATAAGATTTAAACAATAAAAAAGTAAAATAACTCAGTAACATAGCTATGTAGATAAAAATAATCATGTGTCTTTTCATTTTTTTTCACTTTCATAATGAATCCATTTATGTACTCCCTCTCCCTCTGTCCCCTTAAGATCATCTCATTTTGACTTTTTGTGGTTTTAAAGGAGAGTTGAAAAAAGATGAAAATTTATCATAATACCCTTAATGAAAATGACTGAAGTGTATTAAATGAGGTAGGTGAGGTGTAATAAATAAAGTAAGTGAGGGTAGTTGTGGTATTTTAATTGTTAAAAAAAGTAATGAGAAGATCTATTGACGACAAATATAAAAGGCTATTGGAAAGATCTATGGGGGACGGAGGAAGTAATAATCAAGTGACACATGAGACATGGTGTGGCATTGTTGTTGGCATGATGAGGCATGGTTGTTGGCAACATGGCATGACGCATGATCATAATACTTATTACAAATGCGGGTCGGGTCAGCTCGAAGCCCACGAGAGAACCTGTGTAGGCTGGTCTCAAGTTTCAATTGTTAATTTGTTAGAACTGGTTTGCACGCCACACCGGACTCGTAGCGAAAAAATTCGAGTAATGTACTCTTACTCTGATCCTAGAGTTCCTAATACCAGTTTGTCCCGTACTTTGATTAGGTCTACGACCTACCAATAGTGATTTACATTGTATTTTTTCTATGGTCGTTCAAAACTGATTTGAACGGGAACTAGAAAACAAGAAATAGGTGGAGGGTAAGATTGTAACCCGAACTTAAAAAAGTGTCCTTCTTTTATTTTTTTGTGATGCATTAGTCGTGTTTCAAGAAATGATATTAACCCAAACATATTTGGGAATATCAGAAATAATCCCACCTTGATACGCTCTTCCAAAAATAATCTCACATTTCATTACGCGTAATAATCACATCTTTTCATTTGTGTGCCAGTGTTGGGTAGAGCTGTTCCCAGTCCAAGATCGGATCAGATCAAATCGAAGACCAAATTGAATAAAATCACGGACCAAAAATTGGACCTAAATCTATTCGAGTTTGGACCGAACCGGATCAAAATACTTAGGACTGAACCAGTTTGGACCAAATAAAAATATATATTTCTTTAGTTATTTTGATCAATTAAATATTTTTGTAGGCTTTTTTATTGTACCATGCAAATACAAAAAAAATTAAAAAAAAAGATAACCTAAAAATAGATACACAATATGGACTACTATGTAGAATCATAAAAACAAATGTAAACCTTTTTTTGAATTATTATTTTAAAATTGCTTGATAAAAAACCTTGTTAATTTAATAAATTAAGATTAATTAAAATAGAGCATAATACGGAACATAAAAAGTAGAGTTTTAGTACTTGGGTCTTTTAGGTACAAATGAGTTATATGTCCTTTCTGTCCAATTGGTCCGGACATAAATCATTTCGGATTTTGACCGGACCAGATCAAAACCCGAATACCTAATCTTTTTTGGACCAAAGACCGTCCCGAAACCCATTTGGTCCGAGTTCGGTCAGGAACAAACGATCCGGTTCGGTCAGTTTTTTTTGTCCGGACCTAAACTTGAACAACCATAGTATTGGGTGGTCCTTAGGTAGTGAACGGTGGCCTAACAATGTTTTTAATAGTTCATGTTGCACAACAAAATGAAAGGTATAATTATTTGATATAAAATTTACTTTTTAAAAAATTAAAACTTGAAATAATGCTTAAAAATTCAATAGCACGGCTTTGTCATAGATTTGTGTGCTTTAGAAATGTTACAGTTTACAACTTTATAGCGTTTTAGGAAAGAAAATTAGTAATGTATTATTGAAAAAATAATTTGTATTGCCGTTTCAAGAAAAAATGATACCGAGTAAAATGAAATTTACACAAATACTCTCAGAATTGCATGAGTGTACATAGTTAGTCCGAGATTCGTTAAATAAAATTAATGTTCTGAAAATATTCCTATATTTACATCGTTGCCCCGAGAACTGATACTCCGTATATATTTACTGTTGTGCTCTAAATGTTGGAGGCACTGATGTAAACACGTCAAATCTTGGAGCGCTTATGTGAATATAGAAAAACTCTGAAAGCATTGATGTCATTTATTGAATCTCAGTACAATTGTGACAATGTATTAATATGAATTTTTCTCGAATAAGAAATGAAAATAGTTCGTATTATGGTTGCACCGAGTTTACTGGACAGGATCTGCGCCAATAATTGGAGGGCAAAATGTGCTTCTCCCAAGTCGCGTATAGTTTATTCAAGTTTTAGCCTTTAGGTGCTCACCTCCCTCTGGAAATGATCTTCTGATTTGATAATATAGTCTTCAATGTAAAACTTTAATCATTAATATTTATATTTATACATAGATACGGAGTATATTTTATGGAAATTTAAAATTTCAAAACAACATTACATAAAGAAACTATTGACATTATATTTATATCAAACCACAGTATTTTTTTCATATATCGAAGTCAAGGTTTATAAACTTTGATCAGGAAAAGTAAAATAGAAAGATCATTTTTGAACGGAGACAATATTTAACTTAAATAAGTATACTCCCGTCCCAAAATTTACCTTTTTTTTGTTTATTATTACAAGCTAAATACCAACTATGTAAAAAAAGATACTCCTCTATCCCTTAAAGATTTTCTTCTTTTTTTCTTGTCCCGAAATCCCATTCTCTTTTTTATTAAAAATCACATTTATCCCTACTAATTCTTACCATAATTATCAGTAGACCTGCACAAATAAAGGTCTGCCCGTCCAATCCGCCCATACTGCTCCTAAAAATCAACGGATATGGACAGCTATATGAACCTATCAGGGCCGGTCTAGCCTAGTCAACAAGATAATATGAATGGGCTTGGATTGGGTTTGGCCCGCATGGGTGGTAGGCCCGCTCACATTATATAAATATATACGAAGTAACATACACACATATACTCCTTATTACACTAACATATTATACACATAATATGTTATACAAATATTTCTTTTTGAAACAATATTATATAATACTTAGTATGATATAATTCATTATAACATGAAATAAAATAATAGATCCAAAAAGTAATTCATTAGAAGGCACTCGCAGCAGGCGAGGCAAATGACCGCCACGCTTGCCACATCAGCTGCCAAAAAATAATTTGCCATGCTTAGCATGGAGAGGCAAGTCAATACACCACGGAGAGCAAGCCATCTGCAAGGCACCCCACACTTCTTTTTCTTTTTTTCTTTTTTTATTTTTTATTTTACTTTTTATTTTTTATTTTTGAGAATAAGAACTGTTTTTTGTAAGGAAGTAGAAGTATTTTTTTTAATGAAACAAATAGAAAAAATAATTTTTAATAATTAAAATACATTACAAAAATTTTAAAAAGTGACAAAAGTAACGACTTGCCACTTTGAGGTGTGCCACTCCACTCACTTGCCATTCTGTGACTGGACCGTTTTTTATTGGTTGATTTATGTCATATCAGCGTGTGGCATTCTCTTTTAGCTTGTCATTGTTCATACTCCAAAAAAACATGCTGACCTCATGCCTAGCCAAAATCCAGTCTGAATTCGTGTTTGTGCAAGTCCACAGTATCACATCATACCTTTTTATTACTCCCTAATAATCTACACTTTATATCCTACTTTTATCTATCACATCAAAATTAATTTGGAAAAATCAATACAAAAATATTTCTTCTTTAAATTACATAAAAGTCAAAACAATGAGATTTTAGGGACGGATGAAGTGTTTACTTACGTAGTATATTATAGCCACTCCATCCCAATTCGGATTACAATTGAGAGTTACGAGGCAAAACTCATCTTTGGATATAATTAATAAATTAATACGTCAATAAAAAATAAAAATTACGTATTTATAACATTAATTTATATAACTTCATACTCCCTCCCTCTGTCCCAGAGTGTTTGTCCACTTTTATTTTTGCACATCATTCAATGCACTTTTTTAATCCATTTTATCTTGTAATTTGTATATTAGAAAATTATAAAAATTATATATTAATAATTTATATGTTAAGACGAATCAAACAAGATCACACATGACTATTTTTAGGCTTACACATTGAGAGAATTTGATGAGTCAAAGTGCTTAGATGAACAGTTCCAAAAGTCAAAAGTAGACAAACACTCAGGGACGGACCAAGTATTTATTAACGGTTAAAGTATATAAAGATTTGACCAAAAAAAGCACACAAATTTTTTTCTTCTTCGAGAGTAATTGTGTTTAACAGTTATTTGAACAGACCACTTAAATTGATACAAATGGGGTATTGTAACATTTTCAGAGACAATGCTTCTGAAGGAGATCAACTGCATAATTACAATAATATGCAAGGCTAATTATAATTTGAGGGTCAACCACAGTTCACAAATGCGTCCAAGTAACATCTTTTTAATTTGCAAACTAAATACAGGGCATGCATACTTCTTGCATGAATTAAGCCGCCGCCCACAAAAACACAGGAAAAGAACAATTCCACCAGCGGAAGATGTAGAAGCACGCTAGTACCACGGAAATGCACTGTCCAGAATACCTATGGTGTATTAGTGTGGCCTTTCTGCTCTCTTGAAATATTCAAAGACTTCAGCCTAGATGCTGATCTCATAGAATGTATTAAAGGGACTTCTTCCTCCTCTTCTTCGTCTGCATCTTGCTCAGATTCACTGATAGAATCCTCGTCATCTTCACTGGAATCAGGCTCGTCAAAGAGTTTCTTCCCTTGTAAGTTCTGCTTCTTACGAGGACGCCCACGGCGTTTCACAGACATACCTTCTTTTTCATCTGTAACCAAAAAGGCCAAACCCGCGTTACTCACATCACATTCTCTGATTCTAACTAATGATGGATGTGACAGGAGGGTATAGATCCAAAATATTTACTACTGAAGGCATAAGATTAAGAGACTACAGCACATTAGAAAACTTCAAGAGAAAATATACCTTGGAAACCCTCATCCTTCGCATACTTCTCTCGTAGGGTCTCCACAAATGTTAAAACAGGGCGCCATCCGCTTGGATCTTCATCTGTATTTACATTTGCAATTCTTCCTTCAACATCCTTCAAGCTGCCAATGACAAAAATAAGCACCCCTCTTCCAGGGTTTGTATATATAGGCATAACATCAAGAACAAATTACTTTATTAGATGTGTGTGTGTGTTGTATACTGTAGAATAGTTATGACAGCTGTAGGGCAGCTGTTATCATCTTCATAAAGAAGCCATAGCCTGCCTGCATAGCGCAGTTACAACCTCCATGGGTAACCTCTATTTATGACCATCACCTCAAAGTGTTCACATGTTTGAAGTACATGTTCAAGCCAAAGTTTATTTCAAGTCAGTTATATAAGTTTGTGTATAGTCACATTCAAGGCCAAGTCCAGTTCCAACTTAGGCTTGTCAGCTTCAAGTTGTTTCAAGTTCAAGGTTGGATTCAGATCAAGACGACTTTGAGTCAAGTCAAACTCATGTTTACATATTACAAATTTTCATGTTTTTGTCAACTCAAATCCGAGAACAGTGTAAGAAGTTTGGTAAATATAATGATCATCTTGACTGTAGAAGAACAACAAATCCTGTAAAATCCGTTAGAGTGGGGTCTGATGAGGGGGAGTATGTTTGTATGCAGACTTTACTTGGAGAGTAGAGAGGCAGTTTCCAAGAGACCATCAACTCAAAACACAAAAGCACTGCAACGAAGGAAGGTAGCCTAAAGAAAGTAAGAACACAAACAAAAACAAATAGACATGCAGAAATCACAAACTTAGGCACAAAAGCACAAAAGTAAAAGCTATAAACTTTGTCCCAAAGGTCTACCCTACCTCCAAACAGTCTTACCTAAGGCCATATCCTTGGTAGGATCCTGAAGTAATAAGTCATGTCTAATCACCTCCTTCCAACCAAGGTTGTTTAAAATTGAGATCTGCCTCACAGGATCAAACACTTCTACGACCCATTTACCTCAATGCATTCTGGATTGCTTCTTCATTCGAAAACTTCGGAATAACCTAGGTCTCCAAATCGAACACTAGAATCGTCAGATTCAATGGGACTTTTTGCAGCTTTAATTTATAATTAAATAACTAAGATGATGTTTTGCATTGCTTTTGGTTCCATATTTTGTGTTGGATTACTTAGGTAGAAGCATTTTGGTAATGCTTCATAGAGCTTCTGAGGGATGCTTTCGGGTTTTGTATTTGGAATAATCAATTCTCCAAAACATTAAAAAAGGCCAAACACTCTGAGTCTGTACAAGGTGCTAATAATATTTATTTGCTGCACTTGAATATAACAGTTGTTCCCATCCTGCCCACCCAGGCTACCTAAGGCCCTGTTTGGTAAGCGCAGGAGATATGGGTTAATGATATTCTCCGATATCAGCTGGGTATTTGGAAAAGCCTCAAGTCCCAAAACAAGGTTTGAATTTGATATCTCCCAATATCACAATCCTCCCAAATGGGGGTGTTTTGATATCTTCCTCAACTGCCTACCACCACCTCCAGAAACCCACCCCACTGGCCACCCACCCATTTCAGATCTCTCCGAACACTTTTATTTCAGATTTTAGAACCCATATAATTTCTTCAAGATTTCAGAACTCATATCACATCAACTCTCTAAATCTCAAAAAACAAACCCTAAAAATTGTGCCTGTTGACTTGGGTTTAGGTCAGCTACCTCCCGTTAATGTGGCAACAGAGAGATACAGCCCAGACATTCCCTCCCGCCATAGAGCAAAAACAAAAGAGAAGACTAGGACTTCTTGAACTGAATGAGTTTCTTTCTCTCTTCTAGCTCCTAGCAGTGTAGCCCCAACTGGCCTAACCTTACTTTATTCACTGGTAAGGAGTTTGAAGCATGTATAGTAAAAAATGTTCAAGATCAAGATATTCAACTCTACTTGATAATATACTCCCAAATAAGGTTCAACATTACTATTCAGAGAGTCAAAGCATATCTTCTTCCTTTGCATACTTCCATTAGTCATTGATAAAATAAAATAGTCAAAACACCTCTTGTGTTGTAAAAATTTTGATGTAATTCTTAAATATATAAATTTTATTTTTTTGAATTGAAAATAACATCAACCAACCATCGTAAACTGAATCAAGAACCTTATTTTGGGATAGAGGGACTATCTTTTTGTAAGGAAAAAAGGCTTATGCAAAATCTTTCCTTCTATCTAGTTCAAATCAATAAAAAGGGAGAAAAATAGTGGAATCCAACTGAATGCTTCCAAGCTTTTTGTGCAAGGCAAAATGAGAGAAAAATTAGGGTGAAAAATACATGTAATCATATAGCACAATAGCTCAACATCTCCACAATTAACACCATGCACATTCTAGAACAAAAGCTGTGTGCACTTTGGGGGAATAAGTGCAGCAATGCATCATGAATCTAACAGATTCCTCTATATGTTTTACAAGGGTAAGGTTGCATACATCTTGACCCACGAACCCCAACAGAGTTAGGATACAACTGGATTTGTTGTTGTTGTTGTACGTGAGGTATTCTTTAGTTTCTTTTTAACACCATTCCACTAACCAGATTTGTGCAGAAGAGAAGGAGCCCTAACTTCACTTTAAAATTCAAATTGAGTTCATTGAGACATTCTTTCAGAAAAGAACCCTTACATGTCAAGAATGTCAGGCAGCTGAAGCTTAGTTATGAAATGCAGTACTGGGCCATCCAAGAAAGTCAATTGTTTTGGAACATCCAAGAATGCATAGTCAATGCATCCCTTGACAATATCCAAAATATCCAATCTATACTTGTTTCGAGCAGCACCAGCAAATATCCCAGAAAGGCGAGCAGCAAGATCTTTACATTCTTGAAACGTTGTGCTAGAAGCTACTTCATCGCTAGATGAAACAGAAATCAAGTGCCGCTTGTATGCCTGATGATTAAAAGAATAAGATGCAGAGAGTAATGAAATATAACCAAGTATGCAGATATACCCCCCCCCCCCCCCCCAACACCCTGGTGGCAACAAACCTTTTTCAACGCTTCAACCAAAATACTTGAAATTTTCTCATTTTTCTTCTTTAATACTGTGATAAGATGCTTGATCACCTCAGAGACACTTGAACCATGACTTACAAAATGAGAAATTATCTCTGCACCAAGATATTCCTGCAATCACAATTACAATGAAACATATATATGGATCCTTACAATTTTTTTAAAAAAAACACAGTAAACTCTTCCATTTAGATCATGTGGAATAAGAATCCAAAAGTATCACCACCCCAGGAAACAGTTCTTGGCAGATCACAAATTTTTGTTATGCACTATTAAATTAATTAACATAGTGACATGCTCCACTGAGTTTATCAAAAATATAATCAAGGAAGATTAACATTACATTCGGAACTGCGTCAATAGCAACCAACTTGCTAGCAGCAATGATGACTGCATCTCTATTTGTTTCTTCAATATACTCTCTATTGATCTCATCATCATCTGTCTCATCTGGCATAGCAAAAGATCAAATTAGGCAATAAGATCTCAACTTGGAGACATATAAATGAATTTAGTTATCACATCACACCACCACATTGAATGTTGCTTCAGTGGTCGGGTTACAGAAGTCGGTCAGTCGGATGTGGAAGTTAGGATTGACTCCCACCCAGTGAAGCGAGACAAGTTTCGGTATCTTGGTTCGGTGCGGATGGGGTGATATACAAAGATGTTGCTCATCGTATTGGAGGCCCTTGGGCAAAGTGAAAAATGGCTTCATGGGTACTATGCGACAGGAAGATTTCGGCATGGATGAAAGAGAAGGTCTATGGGTCAATAGTTAGACCGGTTATGCTTTACGAAACGGAGTGCAAGAAAACCCACGTTCGCCATGCAGCTGCTTTGAATTTGTGGCCAGACGATGTTGGATAAGATTCGTAACGAGGGTGGGAGTGGCTGCGATAGGCTAAGTTGAGGTGATTTGGGCACGTAAAGTAGGGAAGTGTGAAGGCTGCGGTGCGGAGATGCGAGAGACTGACATTGGTGGGCGAGGGTGGGGGTAGGGTTAGACTTAAGAAGAATTGGAAGAAAGTGATCAAGCATGACCTGATACTTCTTGCCCTTACCGGGGATAAGAGCTTAGATAAGAGTGTCTCGAGAGCCAAGGATTACAGTAGTTAAGTAGTTGTCCGGGCCTTGGTGGTTGTTTGTGCTCTAGTGTTGTGTGCCTAGGGCCTAGTTGTTAGAGGCAATATGTGTGCTTTTGTCTCTTTACACTTTTCTTTGTCCTTAGTTTTCTTTAACTTCTTTTTGTTGGTTTTTCGTTCCTTCTTTGCTGTCGAGTTTGGGGTCTCTTGGAAACAACTTCTCTACTTTCGAGTAAGGGTAAGGTCTGCAACTCTGCGTACACACCCCTCTCCAGACCCTAGTTCTTCTGGGATTCCTCTGAGTTTGTTGTTGTTGTTATCACACCACCACATGGTCTCAGGAGGAACTATGCAAACAATAACTTGAGACCCTCAAATAGTAGACTCGAAGTGTCAAACATGACATCCATCTGAGAGTTTGTTTCACCTCAACTGTTTCCAACAATTCTATACTGTCAACACCCCCNGAACCTATAACTATGCTACAGTGTATAGCAAACACTGGCAATAAAAGAACGTGAGCCACCTGATATATGCAGTTGCTTTTCACAAACATGCCAGAACTTCTGGAGAATAGAACTATCTGGCGAGTATCCCAGAGTTTCCAGCTTTGTTGAAGCAAAGTTGGCCTTACTGAACAGACACCACTGTTCAGCAATTATGATGCAAACCTCAAAAGGAAAAAACAATTGAAGGTCAGCCAGAAGTGCAAGATATCTTTTGTTTTGTGGGGAAATTGGGATGGACAAGGGAATGAACCGATCACAAAATACTTACCCTACATGCGAGAAGATTCCCAGATTTAGCTTCACCGGACTTTTCAAAACATGTTTCTAAGAAGTATTCAAGTTGTCCAAACAAATCACTGCACTTGGACTTTAGGGAAGATATCATAGTCTCCATTACTGTTTTACTATTTAGGATAGAGTGCAGGCACCAACAAAGATGTAGATGCATGTTCAGAAGCAAAAAGCAAATAATCTGCACAGTTGCAGAAGTTATTCACAGTAGGCAAAGAAAGATAAAATATGTACTCCATAAATAGCTACAATTCAAAGTCCATTTCCCACCTCATTATCAATGTTCTTGGAATTCTGAAGAATATGAACAAATTCTTCATACAAGCTTTCAATAGAAAGTTCCTGTGACAATTGAAGTTCGTACAGCCGCTTTAAATTTACTAGTAGTAAATACTCATCATCTCCATTCTGCAAAATCAGAAGTGCAATACATGATAAAGTGTTGGAAGATAGTGGAACCATAAAAAACAGCACATACAGCAACTTCTTTGACAGCAGATTTAAGTTTCACAAGAAGCTCATCTTCAATCTTCTTCAACAGGTTCCGAGCAAAATCTTGTAGCTCTCCTCGACTCTCAGCAGCACAGTAGTTGATGGCTCTCACAAAAGATCTCAAGACATCCTTTTCACCATACTTAAAGAATGCATCTTTCATGAGTGTAAGAACAGAGATGAAATTCTGAAAGGGAAAACAAAACAGCTGAAGTTGCATCACTTTAAGTTATGATTAAACAGTGCTGATGTAGACAGCTTCAGTAGACCAACCTGATTTTGACTCTTAACAGAATAAAGCTCTAGATTCATATGAACAACTACTTCAAGTAAATAAGGCACTTTTGTTTTGTCAACCATAAATTTCTGTAGTAGCTGTGGGTAATTCTTCATCATGACATGTGTAATGGTCTGCTTGTTTGATTCGATTGTTTCCTGATGAACAGAATAAAGAAGTCATAGATAAAATGAAATTTAAACAATGTACAGTTGAACAGAGATCCAGCATTGCATTTCTAAGCTTCAATACAACCCAGTGGGTGCCACAAATGGAGTGTGTGGAGGGCGATGTATGTAAAATTTTGCAAACTTTTTTTCCAAAAAAGGTAGAGAGGCTATTTTTGAAAAACCCTCACCTTCGAATCAAGAAAACACTAAAATCTGTTTAAAAAATCTAAAATTTGAGGATGAATAGCAAGAGTAAAAGAACTACGGAATAAAGGAAGAGCAATTACAGCCAAAAAATACAAATCCCTAAAGATGCATCCATCCACACCTAACTACCTCCTATACCCAAGTTCTATGCCAACTCACCCCACAACATTAATTTCTTACCTCTAAACACCCATATCTTGGGCCATGTCCTGGGCGAGCAGCATAAATATGGCAGGTCTAATTGCCTCGTTACAACTTTTCTTCAATCTACCATTCCTCTCCTCAACCTCCCCAACACAACATCCATGCCACTCTCCACTTTCAAGAGTCTATAGATGCAAGACTATGACCTTCATTTGATGTTTGGACATTCCTTCAGTATTCTACCTCCATGTCTATAATGCATTTCACATGGTCAAAAGATCATGTGCCATTCACTCCCTTGCCTTGGCCAATCAAAATAATCTCATATTTCCTCCTTTCTCTGCCAAATCCTTGTAGAACTGCTTAAAGGTTGCAATAATCGCAGCTGTAACAAGTAACTCAGGTTTCTTCTTTACAGTCTTATAACTTTCTAAACTTTCTCTCCTCGTCACAACTTTCCACAAGCCTCATGTAGTATGCCTTATTGGCACCTACATTCCCGTAGACTTCTCCATTCCATCACCAATCCCATCTATGGTCACTTAAAATACCCCTAGAGACCTCTAATACCTCCCTAGTCAACGCTCCGATGCAAGATATTTTGATCCACCTGCTGTCAACATCCCTACAGTATGATCACTAATGGGAATATGTTTCTCAAAGAGAGAAAATTGTTAGAAGAGGTTTACCGTTTTAAAAAATCTGCTCACTAGCAAGTAACAAGTTGCAACCAAACCAAACATTTCCAGGTTCAAATTATCCACTTCTTGCTTTTAGAACAAAAAATATCAGAAAACAATTTCCAAAAAAGATACAACTTCAATACAGCCAAAAAACACAAAAGATCATCATGAGAAAAGATTGACATGAGATTTGAGAAGAAAAAACAAATATAATGAAAAATGCAGTAGATAAGCATATAAATTCTATTAACCAACTCATTTTCTAATACAGCTAGCAGTGTTTGATCTCGTAACATTTACAGAATAACAGAACTTGACTGATGCCAGATAGTTTCTAGACAGCAAGGAAATTAATGAGAAAGCTTTGAAAAACAGAACCTTAAGGATAACAGGTAAGTATTCCAAGAAGTATAAAGCAAAAATAAAAGGTTCCCTCACTCTTTGTGCTTTATTATAATACTGTTTTCTGTTATCAGTAGCAGGAACAATTTTCTCTCCAACTGCCTTTTTAATAGATGCAGAAAGCAGCCGAATCAGGTTTGTAGCATCTGCATCACTTAGCTCGACTGATGTGTCTTCCTCAAGAAGCATTGAAATGATGCACTTCCAATCCTTCAAGAACATTATGTTCACAGTTAGTGACATACTGACATGTAAGCACCATATGATTGCTGGCACTAAAAAATCCCCGTCTCCCCTAAAGGGTATGCAGGACTAAACTCCTTCAATGAAAAAAATATTCAGAAAAATAATGGAAGAGAATGCAAAAACCCACAAATGGCTGAAAAAAAGTTAAGGTAACAGTAGCCTATGCAACGTACTTTCATAGCATCCATGTAATCCCAGATAGCATCAATAACATAGGCAATTAACATTTCATCTGACGAAAACTCTTTCAATATGTGTAGCAATCTACCAAGTAGAATTTTTGAAGATTCTTTAGCATTTCCTGAAAGGGAAAAAACAATAGCATGGTTAGTAAAACAGAAGAAACAAGAACAAATCTTAATGCAAACAAACCTGTTCTGCTAGACTGGTCGATCAAATGGTCATAAACTAGAGTCCCAATTGCACGCCTGATTTCAGGTGGGTCATCAATAAGTAAGTCATATAATGAGCCTAAATCCTCATCAGGAATAAGCTGGAGTCTGTAAAATACCCAAAAAATTAGCATATCACATAATATTATAATAATGTCATAGAAATAAAGACAATGGATTGTCCGCATTTAATAATTAAATACCGTAGTAGTTGGGTTACAAGTCCTATGCCACACACAGCGACTGAAATATCAATGTCATCTGCAAGCTCAATCATCCTTTTGTAAAATCTCTCTGTAAAAAGGCCAAGTGATGGAACATTATCATCCAGTTTATATAACTCCTGCAAGGAAAGGACGGATGTCTTCCTCACACCTTCATTCTGTACAAAATTACCAAACATAAGAGTTAGATACTCTGAGCTTGAAAAGCTCTCAAAATAAATTTAATTGTGTGACATTCTGCTCACTTTATCATTCAGTGTCCATCCAAGGTATTTCAAATATAAATCCTGCAAAAACAGTGAAGGGTATTCTCGTATCCAATCACCCAATGACTGTATGCATAACATTCTGATATCAGGTTCAACATCACGGTACCGGTGCACAAATAGCCTACATGAATAAATGACATAATAGTTATCAAGCACAGGGAATGAATTATCAATTAAAGTTCATTACTTTACATCACATTATGAGTAGAGGTCCCTTACCCCTTAAATATTTTTCGCATCATCTCCTCTATCACTGTAATCTTTTCATGAGTCATAGTTAACCTCTTCTCAAGTGATGCAACGCGAGGCCCATCAGCTGCCTTCTTCTTTTCTGCATTGAGCTGTCTCTGAGTAGTTTCTCGCTGAACACCAAGCATTTTGGCAATATTTATAAAGGATGTGACTAGTTGTAACCCCATCAAGGAGGCAATTTGTCGATAAACTCTAGGGGGAGTGCTGCAATGCATAGCGATAAAAATATTAGCTCTATCATATCAGTCAAGAATATGTTATACCAAAAATTACATGTATCAAATTGTTTACCATGATAATGCAATTATGTAGTCAGTGCACCTCTCAAATAAGTCACCATCAAACAGTGGTCCATTCTGACACTCAGTAACCAAATTATCCCAGAAAAGAAAGAGGTTATCTTTGAAATTCTTGAACTCCTTTTTTTTCAAAGTTTGGTAATCTTCCACTTCACCCTAATCTCAAGGTTAAGTAAAACAACATGAAACATTACCGGACATCTCAAGCATTTCACAAACATATAATGTCCTCAAAAAAATACAAGTAGAACTATGATTAACTAGATTGTGTATGTATGTAAATCAAAATTGAGGTCGAAGGAAATATATTGAACATAAAGCTTGTTGGGGATACTCTCTTAGCCATGTTAACAAGGGAAACAACCACATCATCAACATTAATCTGATCCAAAGACTCTTCATTGACATGATACTTGGCTCCACATGCCTGTAATAACAAAACCATATTATTATTCACAGCTAAATTGTGTGTGTGTGTGTGTGTATTACTAAAAGCCATAATAGCAGCAATTACTGGCACTGTACAGCCATTAAAAATAGTATTTAATCATTATTACCTCCAGTATCATCATTAGAAGTTCAACTTTTGCAGATTTAGGTTCCTTATCATAATGTTCAACCCAACTCTTAACAACTTGAGGGATTTGTCTCCTGTCACCTTTTAGAACCTCTGAAAATCAAGGAGAAAAATCATTCAATTATCACCATCTGTGTTAACCCAAATTGCATGCCGGCACGGCAAATATTTATGTCTGTTAAAGAATGGGAGACAGTAAACATTAAATACATGGAGTAATAGCATACCAAACCTAGTATATCACCATATCAGTATATCTCAGTGAAGAGTAGAGTCAAGGGGAAAATGCATTCTTTATCTGTACTCTGAGGAGTAAAGACGCTCCTCCTGAATGACCACTAAGAAACAATTACCCGTAGCACTTCACACACTCACACACCTCTACAGCACTCACACAAAATCCCTACAGAAATCTACTACTCTCTCCATCCCGGAGTATTCGTCCACTTTTGACTTTTTTGGTTAAAATTGGTAAACTTTGACCCCAAATTAAATAAAAATGATATTAGACATTGATACAAGAATAGTTTTATTAGATCTATTATATAAAATTTTTCAAATATTATTGTATCTATTTAATATACAGTATATATTTTATTTAATTATAAGTCAAATGTTGAAAACAGTTGACTGAAAAAAGTCAAAACTGGACAAATACTCAGACGGAGGTAGTAGTTTAATGTGCAATCCCAAAAACCTCCTGTCAGTAGTCATGTCCTTATGTCCTTGAAAAAGGTTTATGACCAATAAATCTAATCCCAACTGCTCATCCCATATTATCCCACGTCTTGAAGTGCTTCTAATTAACTAAACACACTTTGAGTGACAAAACATACACACACATCTACATATCTCGCACACAAACCCAACAAGGACTACAAGCTTAGTATGTCATCCTCAGAGAAGTTTACCGCCGTTAAGTCCAACCTTTATTGTCTACGGATATGACCTGTGTTATGATCACTTACCCATAACAAGCGTTAACACATAGCTTACTCCTCTCCTTATCCCTAATGCTGACTCCAATGTCCTTTTTTTGTACTTCCTGTTAAAGTTCCACCAAAGGTATCCAGTCTTAGAGTGGCTAATGTGCGACTCATGTGCTTATGATTTTCTCCACTGTTCATGCTTCATGTTCATCCTTTCCTTTGACTCAACTACCACTGCTACTAGATAGAATCGCCAGTTCGCGGCCCCCAATAGTTGGAACTTGGAACCAGAACAGACGGGGAGGGGTGTGTCCTAGTCTAGTTCAGACAAATTTTAATTATTATTTTCTGTTATGTAGATAATGTACCAATAAATTATATGTAGAAAACTGAGATTGGGCATTGAGTAATTAACTTTAGGGTGTACATATTTGGTGTCATTAAATCAAAACAATAAAATGCAATCAGGAACCTGAACTGGCCCAGTCCGGTAAAACCGAACAACAACACCCCCCCAGCTAGTTGTGGTTCCATTGCATACACCACTAATTGCAATATCGTCTAGGAATAGCAAACATCACATGACACTCTTGATTTCCATCATCTCCAATGGAGCCAAAATTTCACCATTTTTTAGCTTTGGGGTGTGATGGAATAAATCAAAATGGATCTCTAAACTGTCTGCGCTTCTTTAATTAATGAAGTAGCAGTTAGTCAAGCAATGCAACTTTCGACGTTGAGCCGGGGGTCTCTTTGGAAACAGCCTCTCTACTTTCGAGTAGGGGTAAGGTCTGCGTACACACACCCTCCCCAGACCCTACTCTTGTGGGATTTAACTGGGTTGTTGTTGTTGTTGTACATGACACTCTTGGGTCTTTCTGGAAATATCATCTGAACTTACGACAAAGAAGAGTGAGCTCAAGTCTGAATGCAGGTCCTTGTGTCCAGACTTCTGAAATAGAAATGTTCCCCATACCAAACTCCAAAGAGACGTTCTAACTCACACATACATTCATAGCATCAAATGTGCCCAAATCATCACCATATGAGTCAGTGAGCATAATTGGAGTAACAATAGTCAGGAATACTCCCAGACTCGGCATGTGATCTTGAAAGCAAAGATGTGAAGTGATTGTTTTATACGAGCTCCTCGATTGTCAGCTATACATAAATTGCATTAAATTTATCTAGAACCATTGACGTTCAACAAGTTAAAATTCATAAATGCCACACTGAAGAGCAGAGTGACAATGGCATAATACCAATTAATGTCTGATCCATAACGGGAGCTGCTGCTAAAGTTCTTGCATTAGCTTTGTTTCGCTTAGCACGAGGTCGAGATTCTTCAAATTCATCAGTAGACTCCTCTCTTTCTTCTTCGTTCAAGCTCATTTCGTTAGCCCTAATCTGAACCCTAGCCCGTTTCTGATATTAAAAAAACAATAATTAGGGCAAGGAGAAACCAAGACGCTAAAAAATGAAGACAATCACAGGGCCAGGTTTGCATATCTACTGACCGAACGACGCATCGCCATCTTGGAAGGCATTGATTCGTCGTCTTCCATGGAGTGGCGAGAGATATGAGTTGAGGAGAAATATTTTCTTCTCGACAAATGGAAAAAGGTAGACCTGGAGCCAGTGCTCGAGTGTCTAGTGTCTACAACGGCGTTTCAGAGTTTCTGCAAATGTGATTCCCACTCCCTCCGCCAAAAATACTTCATGAAACCGTATTTGAACAGGGAAATGGTAAAAAATTGTTGTGAAGTCTCAAACTACCAGTATTTCGTATTTTCGTGTATGATAATCCTACGTATACGTATTGAAGAATATTGGGTTCTTTTTCAAAATGCCCTAAAAACGGAAGTAATTTATCACTCTACCCTAAAACGGATTTTATTTATTAACCTACCCTTCCTATCAAAGTGAAATTAATCTTATCCTTCTCCCGGTCTCCCCTAAGCCGTAATCGCTACGTTATCGTTATCATACCGTTGCAACAGCAGAGCGTCGTTTCTACCCTAGCAAAGCAATTCGTTATTCTCGTTGCGGCGGCGCGCCATTTTCATCGTTTTCTATTCCAATCGATTGCATACTCTGACGCCTATCAGCTGTCGCCGCTGTTGTTAGCTGTTTCCCATTTTTTCGCTTCTTGTTTGTTCACAGTTGTCCCGCTGTTCGCTGTTTTGTCCCCAGTTCGCCGTCTTTTGTTTGTTTCCACTAATCGGTGAAAGACTCTTTCAACGTAGGTACACATTCATCTAATTTTACAGTAAGGATTGTATAATTAACTATAGCCGGAGAAGAGTCGACATATATCTATTTTTTACTGTATATTTAAAAGTCGACATTATCAATGATTTCTAAAGTCGAAACATAGGGTCGACATGATGAAGTTGGTTTATTAGGTCTACAATATAATGATTTATTTTATCCTGGATTTTTTTTGGTTTATTAAGTCGACCGAACTAAGACGATTACATGTATAATTCCACAGTATCTGATTTAGTCAACATAATAGCTATTTGATCGACTTGTATATCTAGATTTTCTGGAGTCTATGTTGACAATTTCCCATGTAATTTCATCAATCACATTCTGAATTATACATTCTCAATAATGATTGTGTCGAAGTTCATAGTAATAAGGGAAGACCCGTAATAAGGCGATTACATCTTTAATTTCACTTTTGCAGGCAGATGGACACTCGCGCTCTTCTATCTCTGTTCATTCATTGTGGTGGTGATTGAGTTGAAAATGAGAAAAGCGAAATCCAGTTTAAACGAAACAAGCAAAGTAAGACACAAGTGATCGAGTGGGAAAGAAGTAATGAAGACTTCAATGCCCTTCTCATGTGTATTTATCGGGACTTTGGATTGCAACAAAGTAAGCATCAACTTCAGGTTTCGTACCAATCTTCTCGGTTCGGTAGGGAATTTCCACCTGTCAAAATTTCCAGTGATAAGGCGTTGGGTTGTTTCCTGAGGGATAAAGATGTACATTCTACATGCTTATGTGTTGTGGTGACTGAAATCGAGGAAAGAGAGCTTGAAAATGAAACTGTCAAGCAACAACATGCAATTGATGAAAACGAAAAGGAAGATCAAAATGGCAAAAAACATGATTGTGTCTTCCGTGATGAATATTTTGATTGCAATTTAGTATTTGATAAAGGATCAGGGCATGGACATGATGGGGTTGTACTTAATGATGAACCAAATGCGAATGTGGAGACATTCCATTGCATAGGATCCAACTGCACTCCTAACTCTCCCCAACCTAATCATGAGGTTGAGGTAGAGGTTCCCAAGAGTACGCAGGAGAAAGTTGATGTGGAGGTTGAAATTAAAAATACTACACAAGAGCATGTTGGTGTAGAGGTTGGACACTACACTCGATTTCCAGATGATTTTGATTTTCTTGTCGGTGAAGTATATGGCGAAGGTGGGTTGGATGGAACATTTGGCGACGGCTCAGACCTGTGTGTTGGGTATGAGTTTGCCTGCAAGGCTGATCTAAAGCGGAAAATGACAGAGGTAGCCATTGTTGGTTGCTTCGAAACAAAGACAGAAAAGAGTGATACAACTCGATATATTCTGCGTTGCAGGAGTGCTAACTGTAGTTGGATGATGCGTGCATTTTCCGTAAAGGACTCTGCTAGATTTATAATCAAAAAGTACAACAAGTTGCACAACTGTGCCGTTGGTGAACGAAATCGCAATCATAGACAAACTACGTCGAGGTACGTTGGGGAGGTTGTCTTGGCTACTGTTAGTCGGTTTAGTTGTTGTGCCCACGCCTTAGAGGGGGGGTGAATAAGGCGTTTTAAAATCTTTTCGGAGTTTAATAAAAACGGTGTTGGCAAATGCGGAAGCAATATATAAAACGCAGAAATAAAAGCGTAAATAAAATGCACACCGATTTTATACTGGTTCGGGAACTCCCTACTCCAGTACCTCGAGGCTCCTCCTCAAGGATTTCCGAATCCACTAAGTCCCGGTCTCTTGAACTCCGTCAAAGCACCGCACTAGTTTGGCAAACAACCCTTGCCAATAGGATTCACTCCGAGATTTCACCACGGCTATCTCGAACCATTTACAACGAAGATTTAACGGCTATCTTCTACCGTTCCCCCAAGGATTTCAAAGGCTATCCTTGAACCTTTTACCCAAGGATTTATACGGCTATCCTCGACCGATACAATATGAGAATTTAACGGCTATTCTCGACCGTATAAAGAAGTGTTTGAAAAACACAAAAGAGGATTCTACACAACGGCTAGAATATAAAAATGAAGAACAAAACTTAGCCGGTGTAGAAAGAAAGTATACTCTCTCAAAAATACAATTCAAACTTATGAATATGAGAGTATATAACTAGAAACACAAGCTCAAAGTGTGTGTATAAAAATCAGGAATTTAAGGCTCTTGAAATAGCCAAA